CTATGTTGGACTAGTATCTAATCTGTGGAAATTATCCAATAATTTGTTAAGTCAAAGAATGAATGGATGTTTTCAGAACCAGTGAAATTTTCAATTAAAGAGAAAAACTTTTAGATTAGAATGGCTGATGAAGCCAAAAGGCTATGCATGATCCCTACAAGGGAATGCCTATTATTCTTACCAAGTCTGCAACATTTCCCCTTACAGTGCACAACTTATTTATTTATTTTCCATAGCATGTGGTCACTTCTTACTCTCTCTTCAATTTGTTTAAAATCTGTCTCACTATACTAAAAAGGTAAGTTCTGTGCAGGAAATGTTTTTTGCAGATTTTCTCCACCACTGAATTCACATCTAGTATATTAACTTGAATACAGAGACAAACAACAACAACAACAAAAACTGTGTTCAACGACTGACAACATAAGATATAGTTGAAGGTTGTTATTAATGTCTTCTCAGTAGCAGTGAATAAACATTAACATTCTTACCTAGAAGAAACAGTGTGATTGTTCTAAATAAGCACTGTGGATCACGGATTCTATTATGTCCTTGTACCACTCACATTCTCTTAACCCTTGGCCACTCATTATAGACAGTCTGCTTTATTTTTGCTCCATGAAAAATTGGAATTAAAGGAAGTAAACACACCAATTAAAATTATCTTATCTTTTTACAGCCAGCCTAATTTGAGAGTCCGGTAATCAGCACCAACTGATCAGCAGTCAGGGGCGAGCAGCACAAACGAGTAAGTAAAAGTGAAGGGAGGGGGAGCCAAAAGCCGAGAGGCGATTTTTGTACCACTTAGGATAAGACTTCTCTTGTTTCATTGTATTTCTTAATAAAAGCTCGAAAGTCCTGGGAAACGCTGCTGGGCAGAAAGAGTGAAGTTTCAAAGCTCACAGGTCTGCGGAGAAATTAATACAATGCAGTGGGGAAATTAAGTTGAACAAAAGTGCAATGAGCCATAGTTAAACTAATTAATTAAATAGGTTCTGATATGTAGATAACTAGATTGCTGAAGAATTACAAATAAATCCAACTTTTTAAGTGGTGGTTAATATGAATCAGAATCTCCTATGACAATATGTGGAAAACTGCTTGTTTTTAAAATATTGTTCTTTGATGGCTCCCTTCCGTGTGCTTATGCCTTGTCACTGCTCTGTTCTCCATGAGTCATGAAAAGTCTGTTTTAAGCAACATACCAAAGTCTTATGCTTTGCTCAGTTTTCTGCCACATTTTGTTCCGATTTCAAAAAACAAGGGACTTTCTTACAATGTCAGTTATTAAAAATATATATTTTTCAGTGGCCCGTCTACTGTTTTTCAGAACGCAGGAAATATTCATTTACTCGGTGTGCTGTTCGCCGGGCCAGGGTGAAGCAGAGCAGGTGAGCCAAGAAGAAAAGGAGCCTGGCCTCAACTAGGACCAAAGTTCACTGCCAGACTTAGTACTGAGAATATGTGAGACTTGTCCCAAGGCAGTCACCTTTGAAAGGGCCCAGTTCCTTCGGCTGCATTAGTGCCACGTGGGTTAAATATGCTATAAGAAAACTACTTCGTAGAAAGCGTGACAAATTGCCCTCAACAACATGGACGTGTTAGCAACTGGTGAGATACATTTTGATCGCCCAAGTGGGTTGTTTGGAAATGTAAACGTATTTACAACAAAAGCATGAAAGCATAAGTAAAATAATTGCAAGATGGTATTCTATGCTAGCCTGCAAC